GGCCTATTTTATGATTTATATGTCGGTGTAATTTATTTAGCCATGGGAGTGATGACGCACGTTGGATAAATATTGGTATTCTTAGTTATTGTATCGAGTAGAACGGACCTACAGACACTGGCCATAGCTCACTTATTGTTGGCCTTACTAACATTCGTGAATGCTTTTCAAAAAGGAAGACAAAGACAATCAATTGTCATTCAAGGTCTAATTCCGTGTTCAAACAATTGGTGTAATAGAGCTTTTTGACAATTATTTTGCCAAAAGGATGATGAAGAATTGTCGAAAGCAGCGTCAAATTATTCAAAAGACGGTTGCTTTTCAAAAAGGAAGACAAAGACAATCAATTGTCATTCAAGATCTAATTCCGTGTTCAAACAAGTGTAATAGAGCGGGAGTAGTACATTTCAAGAAAGTTTTAAAATTATCCTTGTAATTTTAACGCTTTTTTTAAAAATCTTTTCAATTTTATTTTTCAATCTTATAATCTTCCAATTCTCATCTTGTAATTCCAAAATTTTTATACATCAATAAATTCATTCTTTCCATCAATCTCTACTTCTATTGTCCCTCTCCCGTGACCCGGCCCTCTTCAAAAAAAGGAAAAAAGTGACCCATTTATGAATTGATTTTCAACATTTCGACTTTCGAGCATCTCCAATCGTGGTGTGAATAGATATATCTAAAACTACTTTTACATCTTTATTTAAATCTCGATGGATCTAAATTAAAATGTTGCTCTAATAGAAAGATCTAAATCCATTTTTTACCTTTTGTGAATGAAAAAAAAAATGTAAACTGATAACTTTTTTACATTTTATGCCGAAAAATGCAATATGCATTTGCATCTCTTCATTGAAGGGGTTTTTCATCCACTTTGAAGATCCAAATCACAATTTGGATATATTTTATATCATGGATGCTCTTACAAAGGCTACAATAACTATTATATTTTGTCTCGAGTATCAACGTAGCTTCAAATACGAAACATTCGAAGTAATGAATCGAATTATCATTTATGAATTTCGATCCTTTTTGAGTATTTTATTTTACACATTATATCACTTAAAAGATTTCTAGTTAATTTCTATACAAATACTTTGGTCACAAGATTTCAATTGATTAAAGATATATGAATCTCAATTATTGACTAATATTAAATCAATTATATGAAAATGACTAGGAATAATTCAATTAAAAGATAATGTTTTCATCCTAAGGCATGAATAATGAATCTCAATTATTGACTAATATTAAATCAATTATATGAAAATGACTAGAAATATTCAATTAAAAGATAATACTTTCCGCTAGATGAGAATGCACAGCTCATGCCAAGCATGACATCTTGTTATTTAATTATTAAAATTGAAGAATATCCGATGTATATTCGAATATTTATTAAAAATATACTAGAAGACAAGATAAGATAAGATGAGATCCAGAGGAATTGTTGGGGATGCTCGTACAAAGACTACAACAAATATTATTTTTTGTCTCAAGTATCGACGTATCTTAAAATACGAAGTAAGCTTGACATTCGAAGTAATGAATTGAATTCTCATTAATGAATTTCGATCCCTTTTTGAGTATTTTATTTTACACATTATATCACTTAAAAGATTTCTATACGAATACTTTGGCCACAAGATTTCACTTGATTAAAGATTATATGAATCTCAATTATTGACTAATATTAAATCAATTAGATGAAAATGATTAGGAATATTCAATTAAAAGATAATGTTTTCATCCTAACGCATGAATAATTAATCTCAATTATTGTCTAATATTAA